TTAAATCTGAGTGCAGGCCTGCATGAGGGCAGAATATAAGGGTGTTATTTCTGGATATGCCACACTACAAACCCAGAGGAGCACTTGTGATAAAACCCAGGCTGTAAGTATCACTGGGCTGCTTTCCAGTTTGTAAAAGAGGACACTTAAAATACAGTCACCTGTCTGACCTGTGCTATATTTAGCTGCAGTATAAGCTGAAGTTCCCACCACATTCTGTGTCTGGAAAGTATTTCCTTGGGGGAAATGGGAAATTATTTTGCCCTATTTATAAATATGAAAGCGTATGTGATGTCAGCACGTGTCCCGGGCCTCATGCGCTATAAATCTGGTGCTAATAGTCTCAATCTTGTGGCTAGTCCGTGACCCACTCAGGCATCTTCTTGAGCTATTTCAGAGGTGCAGTGTTGTGCAAACATGCAGGAGGGCAGATATACGGGTCTGAAAGGGCATTTCCTGTTTAGAAATTAGATGCAGGCAAAAATGGCTCACCTTGGTTTGTGTACTGTAAAAATGACTGTGAGCTGCTGAGTTTTCCCACTACTGTTGTGGGTCTAGCTGGGAATGAGCTACGTGAAATCCAGCATTTACTCAGTGACAAAACAAAGAGCTGGTTATCCGTGTTGAGGCTATGATCCCAAAAACTTCAACTCCTTCAGAGAGGTTGTGCACTGCCTGCTACATCGAGTCACCAAAGAATTATAGCTATGCAAACAGATAAATTCAGCTACCACTTGCTTCCCCTTCAGCTATCTGAACAACCTGAGCTACTAAAGTGGCATGTCCCATATTTACAGTTGCGTTTACATGCACTCATCATGAGTTTGAGCCTTTAATGACTTCTTTGAACTGTTCTTTTTCCAGAGTGGGATGATGCTACAGCATACATCTTTAATCATGTTAAAAACAGGAACTGGGTGCACAACTTTGACTTTCATTGTCAAAAGCATGCATACACCCCACTAATATTTGGTTAAATCCCCCTTAGCAAGTTTCACCTCAACCCCTTTTGGTAGCCATAAAGAAAAGTTGCCATCAAACAACCAAATTCCTTCATCTCAGGGTGACAGTTTGGGTTTTCCTTGGCAAAGTAGTGACGCGTGTGAATGACTCCTGCTTCTTCTTGGAGTCTGCAGTTGTTTAAAAATGACTCAGAGAGACTTTCCCAACTTGTGTCCAATTCTCCTTTTTAGACAGTCACTGGCGAATGCTGTGAAACGAATCCTTATGCTGATAAAGAGAAACCACCAGCTGTATCCAATCATGATCACTAACAAGAATTTAATGGGCTCTGACCTCGTCAGGTTAAAAGCCATTTTTAGAACCTTCAGCTCAACTTATTAAAAGATTTGCATGCATGTATAAAAACAACACTATGCCAGTGGTCATGCGTGATGGTAGCAGCATGCTCTGGGTGCTCCCAGACAGTACAACCTCCAAAGTCTTCAATGTCATCTCAAATCAACTGATTATTGGTTATAGATTATTAAAACTCAAATCAAAACTGATTTTGGAACGGATGATCCAACACAGCTGATTGAAATGGCTAAATGACCTCCTCAACATGTCTTGAAGTTCTCCAGAGGCCTGGTAATGAACTCATGAGTCAGGTGTGTTGACCCAGGGTGAGATCTAAAACCTGCAGGGCACCAGCCCTCGAGGCCTGGAGTTGGCCGCCCCTGCTGTAACGGGCTGGATGATAGTAGAAACGCTTCACATAATGCAATCTGTATAACTGAGAAAATTTGAATTTTAACATTTTTATGAAACTCAAATTAAATAAAAACATAATTAGAAATGTAGAAAAAAAAAAAAAAAAAAAACAGTACAAACTGGGTGCTGAGCAACATCCACCACGACCATAGCTACATCCGTGTTTCCTGTTCACATTTATTTTTAAAAAGCCCCCAAATCCTTATAAATTTACATTATATACTTAATCTCTTCTAAATAAGGCAGTAATCTGTGTCACTGAGCTGCTTCTTTAAACACAGAAAGATTCATTTTCATCCTCCTTACATAATGCTACACAACACATAAGCCTGCTGATTTTAGAACGGCCCAGCACACGGTCATCAGTTTCACACTGCAGGCCTGCTTTAATAGACCCTGGCAGGCTTATTAAGAGCTCAGCGCAGTCACAGCTGTAGGATTTAAGATGAAAGGCAACAAGCAGCATTGATAACATTCAGTATGTGATCCAACACCAACGTCATCTGCAGACATTTTATGTCACGGTGACAGAAACAACAACACGTTTGTTCCCTTCAACAGCAAATAATGCTTTTATTGACAGGTGAATGTGGCTGGCACATAAATGGTCCAATACAAGCTGTTTAATGTAATGGTAACGAGCAGTTCAACAATCACCTTCACAGAAATAACTGAAACATTGATCATCAGAAAAATGATAAAAAGACAACGATAAGTTAACATTCATTCATCCATTTCCAAAAAAAATGAATATTACAAAAAACCTTCATAAAACAAAAAATCACTGGGTCTATTTACAGATTGTGTACAGGTGTGGAGACGAGTCCTCCTGCTGCAAGACACAGAAAAGAAAAAAACCTGTTAAACAAATCTGCATACGCCACACTTAATATTTTCATCAACATTTGTACAGGTTGTATGATGCATCTACTGCTTCAAAATCTGAATGTTCTAGCTGTACAAACAACTGAACTCCATTTGTCTCCTACTGGAGACAAATGTCTAAACTTGTGTACGGTTTATGACATTAGTGACGCACTCCCTCCACCTCCTTACCTATAAACGATTGAGCAGGTTGTTCTGAATGTCTTCATACACCTGGCTGTAGATTTCCTGTTTGGATTTCAAGCCATCGAGGTACACTGCAAAGAAAATGATTTAGTCATACGTTTAATGCTTTTACTCCCAACATACAGGGACAGCAAAGATGTCCTCACATAATCCAGCTGCTACATACCGATATTCAAGCCACTGTCCTCCATCTGTTTCCTGTGTTTCAGGTACATGGGCCACACGTGGCCATCGAACAGGCCGGGAGGGTCAGGGACGGTGTACTGTCTCGTACTGAAAGTGACAAAAATACAGTGAGAACTTCCACTTGAAAAGAGGAAAAACAGTCTGAGTGAAATCTTTCATTGTTCACCTTCTTCTCCTCTTGCACTCCTCGTAGGGTATGGAGATGTAGTAGCACTTGTCGAAGACGTCCAGCAGGGGCCTAGAAGGCAGAAAGAAAAGTGACGCAATGATGTACAACATCTTCAGAGTCAAAGGAGTTCAGTTATGCAACTGTTCAGATGGCGCCTTATCTACACCTCTGACAGTCATCACTAGCGCACTGAACACGCAGCAGCAGCGCACTGAACAGCGTCAGAGTTGCACCTCGACAGCATCTTTCTGCTGAAGGCCTTATCTGTAACTGCAGGACCTGCCTGAGCTGGCGACGTGGGCGTCACTGAACACAACTGAGTGGTAAGCACGCTACACCAACATGTGACACGGCAGAAATCATACCGCCTAATGTGTATTATTCATACATACATATAGCCAGATAAAATCAGTGGTTTGTAGATAATTAACTGACTGACTTCAACCAAATGTGCTCACAGTGCAAACAATACTTCATTTATTAAAAGATATGAAAGTCTGCTTTAGACCTACGGGTAGTTGTAGAGCAGGAAGCCCTCCACAATCAGGATGTGGATCTGCTCGTCAGTGTTGGCCAAATCGGAGGAAGAAGACAAAGGGACACCGTGAGATCTGGCAAACTTCACCGGGTTCTCAATCCAGGCTTTTATCGTGTTGGTCATGGCCTCCATATCCAACGCCGTGATAACTATAAAGAAAGATTGGAGGCAAAAAAAAAAAAAAAAAAATGATGGAAAGAAGAGAAAAAGATTAGAACAAACCCAAGCAAACAATGTAATTTATTGGGTGTGTTTGTTGTTTGCGAGCTACTGAAGGCTACAATAAACTTTTGATGTGCATGATTACGGTTGTGTGCAATTATGGATTGTGGAGGTAAACTATGTTAAAATGGGCAGCTATGTGGATATAAGATTAATGAGTCACTGGCAGTCTTCGGGTGAAGTCTTACCATCCCACTGTTTAAAGCCGTCCTCCCCGACTTCTATCTGATCGGGTTTCTGAAATAACAGTGACCAATAAAACACTGCTGCAACCTCACAGCTCTGAACACTTGCAGATCCCACTCACATGCCAGAGTTATTAGGGCCAAACAAGTGAGTACAGAGGGTACACAGCAAGGGGCATGCACAAAACAAAGCAAGCCGTTCACACAGGTATGCAGCTGTGACTAAACTGGGGGGGGGAGGGGGGAAAGGGAGCAAAACACATCATCTAATGTAGTAGTGCTTATGCGGAGAGAAATAAGAAAAGACTCAATAACAAGAGAAGTTGATGTTAACAGCTATCTTAAGAAAATGTAGATGAGGAGTATAAATGGATAAATTCAAGGATGTGGGGAAGGGAAAACAAGACCGAAGCAGTGAGGTGAGACAACAAGGGAAAGACACAACTGTGGATCTAATCTGGAGAACAAAAAGTGGGGGGATGTGGTGGGGTACCCCTCAGGGAAGCCCTCCTATTTTGTTGAAATGCAAATATCACGCAGTGTCCAAAGAGGAGAAAGCAGCATGGGGAAAAAAAAACAAAACAAGAAAACAAACAAAACAAAAAACCGAAAACAATCCACTAGCTTACACTCACCTTGAAAAAGTCATCCTGATGCACGACACAGCAGTTGGGCAAAGTCTTGATCAAGTTATTTGTCAGAGTGGTTTTACCACCATTAGTCACCCTGTAAACACAAAGGCACAGGGTGATAAAAATGCCCGCTATCACCACAGCAAAATTAATGACCTTCCGTTAGCTTTGTGGCAGCGAGTATTTATGTATTATATTGAGCTTTGTTAATATTCAACATAGTAAATTTGTGTACATTATTAAAAGGAAACAAATGAAAACACAAAAACTCTGGGAGCAAGTTAAGTTTAAATGTGTTACATTTAAATATGTTGCACAAGTATAATAATAATAATAATAATAATAATAATAATAATAATAATAATAATAAGTGTTATGGCAACACTAAACTCAGATCTCCCTCCACTTTTGAGCTGACCTCGCGGTGAATTTTCAAAAGTCCCGCTCGATTTATAACAACAAACCGACCGGACCGGATGTGACTTTGAACAGGTTTGTGGCGGGCAGCTGATAAACACGCGGCCAAAAATGATGACATCTATGAATCTGAGACAAACACTCACCATTACAAAAAAACAAAAACCCTGAAGCACCAGTTTGGCCAAAACAAACCTGCACCAGCAATAACGTGAACTGCACCACACAGTGCAGTCAGAGCATCGCCGCAGCGTGACCCTGCTCCACTGTCACTGTGTTTAGTCGACTTACATCAGCCATTTTTCACGTTAACGGATAAAAGGAAACGTTAAAACCGTTGACTTGGTAGTTAAATAAATGCGATAAGCTAGCCAAACTTACCCGCCAATTCCTATAATGCACTTCATCGTCTCGCTTCTTCCGGACAGGTCTCGTTCAAACAGTCACGAACAACTTTCACCAAGAACGAAAATCCCAACTTTTAAAAATAAGAATTTTAAACGATCCAAAAATACTTCGGGAAACCTTCCGTTTCGCTCTCAGCGTGTTTCTCTGTAGTACTGCGAGCGGGAGGCGCGCTAATTTATATCCAGCCCGAGCTCTACAACGTCACAGCGAACGTGGGCGTGGTGTGTTCTCGTGGTCAGGCGTGCTCGTGCTCTTTTTCCACCTCGTGCTACGTGCCATCAGAGCCGTTCTGTGTGTACCTTTTTAGCAGCCAATCAGCTGCGGGCAGAGCGCCCAAACCCCTCGCCGGCCAATGAGAAGCCGGTAACTTTCACCCATTTCCTTATTGTTTCCTCGCTCACTGATGTCCATATGAGAGCCAGATGGTGAGGCGCTCGTACTATTCCATTCAGCATCTAATCCACCTGCAGAGTCAGCGGCCTGTGGAAAACTACCATTGATGGTGTCAAATGGATGCATAAAAATAACACTAATATTTTACAGTATGGTCATGTGCTCGGGTGAAAGTCAAATTAGGAGGAATAATAATAATTAGAACGTCATTGAACCTAGTTAGGGGTGACAAATTAAAGGAAAAACGTGACACAGTCAGTACAACATATGATTTTCTTTAATTTGATGTTTTGACGATAGTTGTAGAAAGCGGGTACTGTTTCATTTACCTGATTTAAGATAATAAAACCATAATTATATTAATACTAAGCCATGGCAAAATGCCCACCCTCTGAAAACTGGAGTCTGGGGTTCTGCTCCCTATAAGTACTTCAGTTTTTCCTTTATTTTATCATACTTCAGTGAAATTTTAAGAACAAAATGCTGGGACCATAGTTTGTCTGCTACTAATGTTCATTAAATTAAAAGCAGCCACAGTAGATCATCTGACTCTTTGGCATGAGGAGCAATATGCTTCTTGTCTCTGACTAATTTTCAAACTGAGGTTGTTGATAATATATCATCCCAGTGAGCATCCATGTGTGAAGTGTGTCAGATGGTAAAAATGGCATGTATTTGTATAGCGCTTTAGTCAGGAGTGTGAGGGCAGTGTGAGCTCCATTGTGAGCCAGCGAGCAGCACCTACATTAAAAAATACTTAATTAGGACGAAGGAGAAGTCACAGGTTCAGCTGTGAAGTGGAGCATGCCTGATGTTTACTTTCTGCCACAAATGTTCTTGCTAGGTTGTGTCATAAATGAGGTAAGAGACAAATGAGTGAATATTTCGAGAGAACACGTGGAGGTTCTAGTAGATGTGAATTACAGCCTTCATAAAGTGTTGTTTATGGCCTTGATCTGTTTCCCAGTACGTGTGTTTGTGTCCACGTGCACGTTGAGGCTCAACAGTCGACAGTGAACATCATAAAGTTGTGATGGGCGAGTCTTCTAGCTGTGTTGCAATTACAAGTCTTCCTAGATCCAAGAAAACGAGGAAACCTTCACATGAGCGTCGGCAGTCTTCAGCAGCTACAGGCCATCCCTGCAAGTGGGAGGGTCACACTGTAAATCCAGTGTGAGCTGGTTTGTGTAACTTTAAACTAACAATTACAACAAAGGAAACAAAAGCTCACACCAAAGAGCCATCCATGAACATAGTTATGGGACACTGTAGACCCCAGATAGTTAGGACAGTTTGTACTCTTAATATGCTATACTGTGAAACTACTGTTTTATTAGCTCTGAATTTAAGGCCAAATCAATGTATTTTTTCCATATATTTTGACATATAATAGAGAATAAGGGCAGGAGATGAATTAATAACATTGGCAATGGTTTCATTAAAGTCAATATTTCAGTAGATACGAGGTAAGTTGGCTTTTCAGCATATAGCATCTTAAAATAAACATTTTTTTAAATGTCTGTATCACTGCAGAGGCGAGGCCATAGATTAAGATATATTAGTATGGTCTGCTTTGATTCATCATGGCGTTGATTCAACAGGGTGCAGGAAACATTCTTCAGAGAATTGGGTCCATATTTATTGATAGTAGCGCACACATCCCAAATGTGCTCTACTGGACTGAGATGCGGTGACTTTAAAGGCCACATGATCACAGTGAACTCACTGTAATGTTCAAGGAACCAGTTTGAGCTTCGTGACACAGTGTGGTCATACAGGTCTGGACATGGGCAGGAACAACAGACAGGTAAGCTGTTTTATTTAAACACTGCTCAAACTTTTGGCCAAAAGCATGCCAAGAAAACGTACCCCACACCACCAGCATGAATCATTAAAACGAGGCAGCGTGAGAGGAGTAAACAGTAATGGCCTACACCGCCAGCTATCAGCCACCTATAATGACACCTCGGCACATCTGAATAGATGCTATGATTGCAGGGAGGGACAGTGTCTCACAAACTGTTCATACCTTGGCGGTAACGACCGTTAGCTTATTAAATGATTAACAGAGGGTCAAAGCTTCTCAGAAGCACCTCGAAGGGGAGAATCCCACCACGGGTTAAATGATATCTGGAACTAACGTTTAGTTGTTTTGGAACTGAAAAGGTCTCTTAGATAGAGAGAGAGAGACAGAAAAAAGTCCACTTGCTCAAAAATTGACCTGGGTGACTGAGAAACCTACACAAACATCTTCTGTTGTCTAATTTTAGTAAGCCGTGGTGACCGTAACCTCAGTTTCCTGTTCTTTGCTGACAGGACTGGCACACCATGTGCTCTTCTGCTGCTGTAACACATCTGCTTTGCATGTGCACTGAATCGGTGCCACGTACGTCTCAGGGAGCAGGTATACCTAATGATGTGGCCAGTGAGTGTATATTGTACATGTAAACACTTTTCAGAACTGTCGTTGCATCACGTCACACACTACTGTTTTGGTGCTGAGAAAGAGTCGCCCTGTTACACGTTGTTCTGTGAAAAAGCCGCCACACACCCACCTCCATGTGACACCCAGGAAATCAAGCCAATATTTGCAAACAGCTCAGAGAACATACAGTAGTTTAACACGCATGTAACCAATTTAAGCCCAGGCAGTGCTCTAAGCAACAAACAGAGAACATATGATGAGGAACAATTTATTCAGTCATATTTACAGGCAGAAACAATCATGGAAGCTTCAGGAGAGTGAAACAGTTCATATGTGAGCAAACATTTTACAGCAGGTATGGTCGGTTTATGGGTTGAAACATTACAGATTTTGTGCTTTTATAGTCAGAATGAACAGTTTATGCACGAGTGTGACTCAAATAAAAAACATAACCAAAAAGTAAAATGCTACACTGTACATTCCTTCATTTTTCCAGATTTCCCCGAAGCATTTGGTTCGACAATAGGCACTCGGTTCAACCAACAAACGACCAGCGAGAGGCGTCCCCCTCGCAGAATGAAGACGGGACGCCGCCAGGTCGGGTTTGCCAGTGAAAAACACTCTTAAAGGATCACAAAAAGAAAAGTTCAAGCTTTTTGTCCAACTTTGCCACTCTGGAAAGGCAACAGAAGAGGAGTAAAGTAAGTCGGCACTTTATAAACAGACTTTTCATTGGTCAGATTTTCTGTACCAAAAATGCATAAGAATGCCCACAACCTACAAAAACACAAGTCATGCTAACAACAGCTCAAAATGCATAAATCTATCATAGGCTTAAACTACCCAAATTCAATAGTGCAAAACATACGAGCAGTTTACAGACAATCAAGTCATGAAGTCCACACAGAAGTAATCCTATGCTTCAGTCTTCCTGCTACAATAATTTGAAAAAATGGAAGACACAAAGAACCAGAGTTAAACCGTCCAGAGGTGCTGACACTGCTGATCACTGAGGACGTTTCTGAATGACCAAAACATTCACTCATTAATCTGGAATTAAATTCAGACGTATTAATTGCGACCCCCTCCGAGAGAAAGCGTCACTGCTTCATGTGCAGTTTGTCAAACTTTGTCTGCTTTATGTCTTGACTTTCATCACATCTTTACAGAATCTATACAAATTTGTTGTAGATACTTTGCACACGTGTTAGTATTACATTTATGGGAACCTGTAATATGGAGTTTAGCCAAAATATTATCTAAATACAAAGCATTCAGTGTTGTATGAAGGCTGTTTAAGTGACTATGTTACACAAAATAAACAATATATTGCTTGAACTTACCTAAATAATTTTACAATCCACAGGGACTCCTGTAGATTTTCCAGTATGGGTCACAAACTGCAGTAAGCGCTCACGTTCCTGCCTTTTCTTTTAAACACTCAGGATGACTGAGGCACATAATGCCACCGGGTACAGAGCAGGTGGAGGCGATCAAAGGAAACTAAAGGACCCCCGCACCAGCAAACGTTAGCACATGTTGACATGTCAGAACAGCATATGAGAGCGCTTCAAAGGGCCTTATGATGCAGCAGCTATGAGGTAAAAAAATAAAATAAAGCATCTGCTACATTGGAAAAGCCTTGTTATCTACATCTGACGCACACGACATTCACATGAACCGGCACGAATATAAATGTGAGTTTGTTCCAGTGGTCTCGTACTGACCCAGATCTCAGTTAAAGGAGCTTCAAGATTCGCTCGTGTTTTTAAACTGTCACGATTTTCAGGTAATTTTGCCCTCATTAACTTCAAGCCTGTAATCTCTGACTCGAACAACGAGGAACAAGGAGGCTCATTATAATCCAGCACGAGCTCCCTAACAGCAGATTAAAGAATGAACGAATCGAGCAGCGGTTTCAGGTTTTAAATCAAATCTGGTAACAGAGTAGTGACTTCATTTAGTGTGGCCATAAAACCCCTCTGGGATAGAGGAGGGGTGAGTTCCCAGTGGCATTATGGGACGGAGCATTTATTTTGTTTTGATCGGACAACGACGGCACAAATCGTCAGCGGGATGATGACACGAAGCTTGTGTAGACTTGCTGGACGTTCACGCTCCACTTCAGGTGAGCCCTGCACAAACAGAAAAGAGCACAAAGAACTATCATGTCTGCACAATAAAAACATGTAAGTGTTATTTTAGACAGTGCAGCTGTCTATGAGGGACAGAAAAGGCCCACACTGTGTTTGTCTAAGGAGTAAACAGCCAATTATTTTGGAAAGAAGGAAACAAAGACGGGACTTGTGCTTCTAAAATCTTTTACTATCACTCACTTTTTGTAGTTAAACTGACAAGATTATACTTAGTGGTCAGTTCATTAGGTAGAACGAGTTGGATCTGCTTTTTGCTTTCCGAGCAGCCTCGGTTCAAGGT